GCTGAACAGGTTCCTTACCTTCAGCTCTCTGTCTTGCTGCTTGAACTCCTCATCTTCATCAGAGTCACACTCGGGAAACTGGTACACTTTAATGCCAAATTTGTCAATCTCTTCCCGGATCTGTGTCCACGCAAGACAAAAACAAAAGGATGCAACACTGAACAATACAGAAATGCTGGGTTTATTCCCTGTTTGTGCTACCATGGGTTTGCTATAGCCTACAGAAGGCGAAAGGATTTGATCTTTCTTCTAGAGCTGGCCTCTCGGCAGATAACACTTCCTTTCTCACAGCAGAGCACTGCTGCAATTAGATTTGCAGGTACTCTGTGTGTGTGTATATATATATACACACACGCGCGCATGTATGTATATATATACACACACGTGCACATATATGTGTATATATACACACACGCACGCTATATACATCTCTCTCTCTCTCCCCACTCTGTCCTCAGCCCATCCCTGCCGCCACATCAGGTATACCCCTGTAGAGGAAGAGCATCTCACCCTCTCTTTTAGCTTCCGGATCTCGGAGGGGATCAGGCAGTCGGCTTTGGCAATGAGGGGCACAATGTTGACCTTCTCATGCAGAGCCTTCATGAACTCGACATCCACGGGCCTCAGCCTGCAGCAGGAGTGAGGAGGGACACAGTTAGCAAGGACACACTGGGCAGCTCCCCCTCCAGCCTCTCCTACCCACCCACCCAGCACGAAGGGAAAAGGACAGCACTGTCACAAGAGCCTGCGGCAGTACTGGGACAGACCTCAGCTAGGGCTGTATCTTCAGGAAAGCTGCCTCAGATTTTAGCTGCTGAATGTCTCACACAGACACAGGCTGCGTATCTGCTCCCTTGCAGGCCAAATACTGCCCAGGCTACAGCCCAGGGCCTCCCTCCAGATGCCCTCTGCCGCAGGCAGCCAACACGGCCCCTCCAGCTGCTCCAGGCTAGGCTGGCACAGGAGCCAGCAAGGGGCAGGGACCGAAGGCAGCTTAAAAATCCCTTTCCTACCCATCAGTCAGGCTTAGCTAGATAGGAAGATACAAGTATGCCTGGCATTATTTCTCCTGATTGCCAAAACAGGCTGTAAGGCCTGAGAGAGATCCGCTCTGCCTGATCACAGGCAGTCTGGCATGGCAGCGAGGGAGAGGAGGTGGTGTGGTGCTCAGCTGAGGGAGAGCCTCCAGACGGCTCTTCTCCTCTGCCAACAGCCCTGCCAGTGAACAAGTCACTACAGGGCGATCCTCTGGTACAACGGTCTTCCCTCCGGACTGAGTCCCACCCCGGCCCTGGCGTGGGGGCTCTCACCCATGCCCGAAGGGTGAGATGAAGTAGAGGCAGCAGTGCACTCGGTTGTCCTGGATGTTCTTCCTGTTCAGGCCGCTCTCATCACGGAAATACTGTTCAAACTGCTGGTCAATGTAGTCAGTGATGGGCTTCCAGCTGGGAAGGGCAATCCAACCAAAACAGAATCATGTGTTTAACAGGACAGTGTCTCCTAGTGACTATAAGGCAGCATCACCCCCTTCCCGCTGCCAGACCCCCTTCCTGTGAAGCACCCACAGAAAACAGACGTGGCCAAGGACTAGGAGGAAGGCACTGGTGGCCTGCTCACCACTCAGTGTTGTTAACAGCATCTCCAAAGCCTGGTGTGTCCACTATGGTCAGCTTCAGCTTGACACCCTTCTCCTCAATGTCCACCGTGTGCTTCACAATCTCCACTGTCTGGTTGATTCTCTCTTTGAACAGAAACACGTGAGTTAAAGCCAGGCAGTAGTGCTGGGGAACACCACTCACACCTACAACAAGCCAGCTCCCTCCTTATCACTGAGCACAGGGAGTAACATGGGTTTCAAAAAACCCTGATCATCCTCTAAGGAGCCTCAAGGAGTGGTACTGTGGGAGGCCAGCAGCAGGCAGACAGACTCTGAGAAGATACAGAAAACTCTGAAGTGCTTGTAGCCCAGCTGTTCTGAACATTTTGTCCAGTCACTTGGGAAGGGGAATCCCTACCACACTCCAGCACCCAAGGACAAAAGACAAATCTCAACCCGAAGGGCCAGCACTACTCTGCGGCCTTGTTTTCCCTTCCTAGGACAGAAGAGCCCTACAGCCAAACCCTTTTTTGCTGGAATAGTAGTGCCTCTGCAGCCAGCAAAGGAGAACAGAGCAACCAACAGCAGGGCTGGGATCCAGCCAAGCCTGTAGCTGCTGCGGAAGCAAGGAACCAAAGTACTAGTCCTTAGGACAGTCTAGATCTGCGGGCACAAGAATCATTCACCCTCCTTCGTCCCCAACTTACCCTCTGCGTTGAGCAGCTTTCTGTCTTTGTAGAGGTCTGTCAGGAACAGGCTATTCACCAGCGTGGATTTGCCCAGACCCGACTCTCCTAATTGACAGAGCGCAAAGGGGAGGAGGGAAAAGCAAGCAACATGACCCACTAATTGACTTACAAATGAAACTCTGAACAAGGCTTTGAATCCTGAGCCAGAGGAAGTGAGAGAGACGAGCTGTCAGAAGCTGTTTATCGGCATTACATTTTTCCAGCAGTGGGAGGACTTCTGCTGCAAGACGTCTCAATCCTTGTACAAATGTGATCTCCCAGCCCCTCCATTCTCCCTCTCCTTCCTTTCCCTCTGGCTCGCCCTGCCTTCACCACCCAGACCAGCCACTTTGTTGAGGAGAAGCTTGCTTGTGTGGGTTATGAGTGGTCGGGGGGGGCCCATTCCTCCTGGGGGAACTGTCTGACTGCAATACAGGCTGGGGAGCAAAGCAAGCTCTGAGGCAAGGACCAGAACAGAGCAAGGTGAGGATCCAGGCGCTAAGGGAGTACCTAAGGGAAGTGAGGAGAGCTGGTTTCCTCCACGTACCCACCATGTGGCCCAGCCACTTCTATCCACGGGCAGTCTCACCTGCGACCATCAGGGTGAAGTCAAAACCTTTCTTCACAGATTTCCGGTGGACCTGGTTCGGCAGAGTGGCAAAGCCCACGTACTGCTTCTCATGGTCCTGCAGGACAGAGGTGGATGGGAGCAGGTCAGGGTGTGCCACCCCTCCTGCTCAACCCTCACACAGCAACAGGGAGTTGGACTCAAAAAGCCCCTGAGGCAGAGCTAAGGGTTGGAGGAGAGGTCGGTCCCTGCCCTGGCAGCGGTGCAGGGCAGGGCACACACCTTCTCTAGGTTCAGAGACTTCTGCCCTTCCCACAGGTGGGCACGGAGAGCCGTCTCCTCCCTGCCACAGCCCCGCTTGGCTGCTCTCACCAGCCAACACGGCAGTTCATGGCAGCCTCCCGGCACAGAGAGCACAAGGGAAAAGGCACATTCTGCTGTTCCCACCAGAGAGCACATCTGGGGCCTCTGCTGACACACAACCTTCCTAACTCTTTGCTTCTCCTGCACAGTTGCAGGCTCCCTTCACAGCAGCATCACCAAATGTCACCTCTCCCCAGGTCTTTCAGTCATTTCTACATCTCTCCCTCCAGAGGTGTGTGCGGTGGTACATGACGGAGAGCTCTCTGTAATTAGCACCCCAGGGCTTGTGGTGTCCTGAGCCACGTCTAGAGGAAGGCGCGGTGGCTTGACTTCTGCTTGACCCGAGAGAGGATTATTTCTTGCTGTGTCACAGCCACTCCTGGCTGAGTAAGAGGAAATCCTGAATAATCTCCAGTGTTATTTCTGAAGAGACAGAAGTTCAAGGAGCATGGGAAGTGGGAAGATGTGGATGTACTGATAACACAGGTGAGATGCTTTTGGTGAGGTTATTACTGCATGGGTAACAGTGTGCCACACAGCCCAGCTGCTCCAGCCAGCCAGCCTCCACCTGAGCACCCCCGGTCTTTCAGAGCCCGCAGCCCCCCAGCAGCGCGTTCCCCTCCCCAGGCCCCATTGCGGAGGGAGGGTCCACATGGACCCTGACAAACCCCTCACTTCTCACATACTTCCCAAGCTAGACCCAAGGGGAAGCAGCCATTCACAAATGCCTGAGCTAGAGACATCACAGACTCTGCTTTTCAACAACACTTAAACATACCCCTGGGATTCACACCACAGGCAAATCCATGGAACCATGAGTTCCTCAAAACCAGCCCAGCTCCCACCCAGCCATGGATGCCTTCGAGCATATGGCTGTCCTCACCCCACAGCTCTCCGGCACTGGTTCTCCAGGCACAGCAGGGAAGACCTCTGTTCTTAGGTTTAACTGTCTCCATTCCTGGGGCATACACTCGAAGAAACACAAATTATAACCCAATGTGTGAAGCTCAGGGCAGTGCTGACTTGCACCTATTTCCATACTGCAAGCAGGCAATGCAGCTCCTCAGCAGCCCTTTACAGCCTCCGGCTGCATGTCCATACGTGTCACCATCCCTGGGCATCCTCAGCCAGGCAGGGGAACTGCCACCCAAAAGGCTCAGTAAAGGGTAAACATGAGGTGTGCAAAGTAGGGTGAGAAATGTGATAATGGCAAGATCAAGAAAACAAGGAAAAAAAAAAGGCCGCTTCCATCCTGTGTCCCTTCATGTGAGGGCTGCCTCCCAGCTGCTTTGCTTCCCGGTGAAACACATCCACGAACACAATCAAAGCGCGCACGTAACAGCCCGCGCCTCACAATGCAAGGACCAGCGTTGCTCAGCGAGCGGCACAAAGATACAACATCCTTCCCCTTGTGCTGCTCATACAGCTTGGGGTTGGAGCAGGAAGAGACCTGCACCGATCTTCACCAGGTTTTGGAAAGAGAACGATCACCTGCTCTCTCCAGTGACTTGATATGTGAAATAGTACTAGTAACGTGCTAATAAAACCATAGCTGAGGCTCAGGGTGTGGTTTTTTTATTTTCTTTGTTTTTTAACCTATATGACTAAGGGCTGACAACAGAGACACTGGGGACCTGAGCTCTGGTGCAACTCCGCTTACTTCAGCCAAGTGTAACTGGCTGAACCTGATCTCTCGTTTCTGTTCAGCCCAACCAAGAAAGCATGGATTTACCGTACCTCCCCATAGCTCAGCGGAATCACGACATTGGAAATGAGCAGATCCTGGCTGGTGCAGGACACTGCCCTTTACCCATGACTCATGCAGCCATTTCCCTCGCAGTAAGGAAGGTCAGTGCTGAGGGCAACACCAACAGAAGAGCTTCCCTCACAGTGGGAGGCAGCCAGAGTCGCAAGGGGAAAAGCCCTGTCCCCAGCCATGCCTCCCTCTGACCCGCCACGGATGGATGCACTGCACAGCCCTGCCGAGAGCCAGTGGCCAGTGTGTCTGCCAAGGGTGGAGGCAAGAGATGCAGGGGAAATTGTGGGGAGGGATCCCCTTCTTTTAACAGCCTTCTCTCAGGAACAACAGCGTGGTCCCCGCACCACGGCCAGCCTAGACCCACGGTTCCTCATCCTGGCTTTGAAACACCCAACCTGTGCTTCCATCCCAGCCATGTCTGGGCACTGACAGGCATGTGCCACCATCTCTGCTAGTATGCCAACATCAACATCGCGCTTAAGGAGTCCAAGTAACCTCCTGCACCTGGTGTTTGCCTTGCTCGAAGTTCTACACCACTCACCATCTTCGTTAGGACCTAACACAGATGCTATCTGCAGAGCAGCTATGCATGGGATGGACAGCGCTGAAGCGGGCGTAGAGGGCTGGGAGGGCTGCTGAAGGAGGCAGGTGGCTTTCTGGGTTGTGAAAAGCTAAAATCCATTTGGATTGAGGGAGTTCCTGGAGGCATCATGGCCCCCTCTGCATGCTCCTGACCCTTGTGAGCCAGCTCCCATCAAGCTGACACAAGCCGGGACAGCCGGTCGCTGCACCGCGCTTCCCTCACCAGCCCCAGCTGTCCGGAAAGGGCCCTGGCCAGCTGAGCCAGCAGCACTCTGGCAGGAGGAGCCCCTCTCCCCACCGCCTCCTCCACATGCAGCCTTTGTTCCCGCTGGCATCCCGCTCCCACGTGCCTGGGAACGTGCCCCACACACCACAGCAGAGGCCACCAAGAGACATGACAACCTCTGAGGCCCTGTTACAAACCAAAGCACCCCAGGCCAAACAAAATATATCTGTACTCTCCCGCAGCACACGCTCGCTGGTTCACCAGACGTCACAGCCACACATCACATCCTCACATCCTCCGATACCCAGCCGAGGTGGCCACGGCTCCCTCACTCG